AATAAAGTCCGTTCACRGTAATTCAAGGTCGTACCGCGCAGTGGGGAGGCGGGGGAGGTCRGGGAAGCTTCATGGAGAAGGGGTCRTTTGATCTGGGCCTTGATGGAAGACAGGACCCTCCAAAGCCAAATGGGAGTTGGGGAGAGAGGCTGTCCCAGAKCAGAAGGGTGGGGTCAGAGTCAGCAGGACACATGTGCAGGGCATGCTCTGCACACAGCTGGCAGGAGCAGGTGGCTTGCTCGGGCAGGGGGTGGTGGGATTGAAAAGCCATGCTGCATCCCAATTGTGCAACGGGAACAAATATGGACCAGGAGTCGGCAGACATGGGGTAAGGCTGGGCTTTGCCTAGGATCCCTGCGGGCTGTGAGGAAGACGTGTGCCCAGTCTGCTTCTCTCTGTAAACCAAGGAGCCTCGCACCTGCTCATGGCTTCCGTAGCAGGCCACAGTGACCTCTTCCTCCCCCTTGAGGTGGCAGTGGGAGAGCGGGGGGGGGGAGGGGGAGAGAACTGGTGGACACCTGCTGCATCTAGGGATGGGACTCCAGGTGATTTCAAGCTGTGTGACAAGCATGTTGGGGTGTTTGAAGGGTCACAAGAAGGAGCACCAGGCTTACCAGCTCCAGGCTGCAGCAGATACCAGGCCCTGAGGGTGCTGAGCCCCTGGCAGCTCTGTACAACAGCAGCCTTGATGCCTGCCCCTGCCCTCCTGGGAGCAGAGACCGGAACGGGGATGAAAAGTAGAGTCTGACATATGCCAGACATCATCACCCAGGTAGTAAGTGCAGGCGTGAGATGCACATGAATGTGCATGTGTGGGGGAATGCGTCTGTGTGTCTGTGTACATGCACACCTGGTGTTCAGGAGTCAGTGACCCTATATCCATAATGCCTGGGCAACGCGCTCTGATGCTCCGGGAGGATCAGCTGGGGCTGGAGTCTGTCCCAGGTCCTCCAGTCTGGGAGCTGGATTCTCTCCCCATCACCGTGACAGGTGGCTCACGTGCAATGGGTGTGGTGGAGCATCCTGTGCATCACATGCCCGGGCGCTTACTCGTTAGGTATGGGGGACAGGAGTAGCGGGAGCCCCTGAGAGGCCAGGCGGGAAAGGGAGAGGAGAACCAAGAACGCGGCACCAAAACCATAATGCCCTGGTGGAGCATTGTGGGGAGACTCGGGACACAGGGCCAAGTCACTCACAGCGGAGCTTCGCTTGGGGTCATTTCAAAGTAAGAGCGAGCCTATGGCTGGCCTTGTTTCTGTGACTTCCTTCCGTGTCCCATTTCTCCCCTCCTCTAAAAGGGTCCTCTTCAACCCCTCTTTCCACTGGGCTGTTCATGTCTCCCCTGGCCCCACCTTTTATCTTTTTCCCTGTAAGCCTCAAGTGATGAAGGGTGACCTGCTGGTCTCTTCCCCTGGGTCCATTCCAGGACAGTTCGCCTCGCCCTCCCATCACCCAGCACCCGGCTAGCAGTGTGGGCGGCTCCCTCCCTGCTTTGACTCGGAGCACCTGGACCCTGTGGGGTTCCTGCTACTGCGTCCCCTGGGGCSCCCGCTTCACTCCACCTCCCTGGGCCTCGGCGGGCTTTCAGAGCTCACCATATTTGACATCATTTTTATTCCTATGTTCTTTCCTAATGTCTACAAGCCTGGTGCCACTGTAGATAAAGACATTCTCCCTTCCCTCCCAGCCCCAATTGATTCCTCCGTCAGGGAGCTGTTGATGGAATACAGCTTCCCCAGGTCTGATTTTCAACTAGCCAGACTGTAAAGCTTCACTGTGCGGCTGCAGAATTTCTCTGTTGATGTATGGTCTGCAGCTTCTGTAACAGCGGCACAAAGATCTGGGTACTGGAATCCTCAGGGGCACAAGCGAGGTGCTCCTTAGGCCCACAGGGTGCTCCCCAACCCTGTCACAGTCTCTTTTGGTGGCTGACACCAGAGAACCAGCACTTACTCTTATGAGTTCCTGAAGTTCCCATCCTGAGACTCTCACAAGGCTTTACCAAATTTGGAGACACACCAGGGAGAGAGCCTCCTCCAGGTGCTGGGGGCAGAAGTGGATGCTGACACTCAGACCCTCCAGGTTGGCCCAAAGAAGGCGACCCTACTATGTGGGAGGAACTGGGGACCCTCAGTTTTCTGTGCTCTTGTGGGGGACTGGAGAGCTTTGTCAGCAGGCCTGGGACAGAGGGACTGTGGGGCAGCCTGGGGGTGGAGCTGTAACTGAATGGCATGACAGGTGCTAAGGGYAGCTTTGTCCCATATGGACCTTACTCTGGGGCCACACAACCCAGCTGTTCATCTAACTAGCCAATGACCTGGTCCATGACGAGTTTTATGGAGTATAAGAAGGAGCTATCAGGAATCCCTTGGAAAATCCCTTTTTTTCTTTACCCAACAAGGATCTGATTTCCTGTGGAAAGCACCTGTTGAAGATCAGACCATCAGGATGCCCCACAGGTCACTGGTCCCAGGGTTGATGGCGTGCGTTGCTGGAGGGGTCCTGTTGCTCCTGAGTGTCCCTGGGTCCCATTTGTCCATCTCCTGGCAAAATCTCGCTGCTTTTCTTTGGTGCCTTTGCCCTCTCCCTGCTCCCTGTCTGTGGGGCTGGGCTGGTGCAGACTCCCTGCAACCTGGCCCCACCCCATTCCCTGTTCACTAACCCTTTCTACTGTGCTCTGAGGGCTCATCCACYCTCCAATCCTCTCCACCCAAACTTCCTTGTCCCCTCCTTCCCCAGCCCAAACCTGGCTGGACCTCACATTCCTGCGGCCTCTCAGCACCGAACCTCGTTTCAATTTCTTCCCTCGTGGGCCGTGGCTCCTGGAGGATGGCCTGTTGTCCTCCGCTCCCCTGTCACTTCCAGACTCTCCTCCTCTGGGCCAGTACTTGTGTTGGCTGCTCACAGATTACCCATGTTTTCCTCCAACTGCCCTAGTAGCAGGACCTTGGTGCCTTTGTATATTTGCACCCATGCTGCCTTGGGGACATGTTTCTGACACTAGCAAAGCTGGAGGCGTGAAGGGCTGACACTCCAACCTGCTGCTAGCCGCTCACAGCGTCGGTGGTTGCCACCTCTGTCCAGGCCCCACCTTCACCGTGACCTCTGCAAAGGCGCCCGGCTGGGTTCTGCCCTCCCCAGCCGACTTCACTTCTAGCTCCTGGTGGAAACCTTACGTCAGGGCATGTCACCTCTGCTCCATGCTCCTGAGGTCCCCATCGTGGTCAGGGGCTGGATTCCAAAAGTAAATACTTAAAAGATGAATCTGATATCAAACACTGGGGAGGAAGTGAGGAAACGAAGCTCCCCAGCCTCTGGGCTGGAGTGGGCTGGGGGCCGAGAGACAGAACATCCATCCGAGCAGAGAGCCCCGTGGGAGGACAGGTGTCACCCACGTTTCTTACTGGAAGGTGACAGTGGGCAGTGGGCAGACAAGAAGCTTGCTCGCTGCTGCAGGGGCCAGGGGTCAGTGGGAGCACCGGCTCCTTCAGTGGGCCAGCACCCCCTAGGAAAGGGGCTCTCCCGCCAGGGCCATCAGGGACACCCGCCATTTGCTGCCTGGGCCAGGCTCCCCTGCTGGCCCCTCTTTCCCTTCTCCTCCTCTTTCATTCAAGTCTCAAGTGCACAGGAAGAGGCCACCCCTTAGTTGTGCCCCCTCAGTACCCAGGCTTTTCCTCTGTACCTTCAAACACTAAGTGGATCCCATGCCCCCCAACCCTCTGCAGCCCGCACAGGCTGGGAGCACCGTTTCCTCACTTCCTCCCCAGTCAGCCACGACCATCATCCGTCACTCAAGAGTGCGCGTGCCTGCTACGTGTCAGGACTGACGTGCAGGTTTCTGTGGGGCCCAACCCGTGCCAGCCTCATGGGGGCTTCTGTCTTTGAAGCTGTGACAACCGCCACTGCAGTCACTGCCATGCTCACATTTGCAGAAGTTCACCGACGTGTGCATGTATGTGTGTGTGGTACCGTGTGTGACATGCTCTATGTTGTGCCACATTATATTATTTGTGGTAAATGTATGTGTGTTGTTATACACGTGTGTGCACTCCCTCGTCGGTGTTGTGTTGTTATTGTGTGTGTGCACTCTCTCCTTGGTGTGTGTGAGGCCAGCTGTGTGGCTATGTCACCTATGTGCTGAGCGGTGTCCCCTGCTCTGAGCCCGCAGGGAACTCACAGACGTCGGGGTGGCTGCTCATGTGCAGGCACAGTCCTGCTTTCTGACTCTGGCTGGCCCCTTCCTGCAGCCCCTGCCTCCCCTCTTGCACAACCACACTCTGCTGCCAGTGCCCAAACCACCCTGGGATCTGAGGATACAGGCTGTTACTTCACAAACTCAATAAATAAGCCCAGTAAGAAGGCTGAGGCGGCTGGATATTTGTCAGACAAATGGTTTTCCCGGGGAGCATAAGAGCCAGCTGATGGCTCACTACTGTGATTTGCCAGGACCGGAGCTGTGAGTCATGCCCAGGGTTGGCCTTCCAGCTGCAGAAGGTAATTATTTCTTGCACTGTGCCCACAGCCCAGCAGCAGCCCCTACCCATGTGCCTGTATGCAACTCACCCAGGTCACTGTTAAATTAGTTCTTTTATTTTGTTTCCTAATGAGAAAAGGCCCTTTACAATTTTTATGAAGTCAGCAGCTTCAACATTAATACCTAATGTCCAATCTCTCACAGCGGGAATGTTGAAGCGTCAGAGCCAGGAATGGGAAAGATAACTTACCCGATGCTCTGGTGCGGAAACTCACTGGTTGAATGGCCCTCAGCCCACCAGGCCTGAGGACAGCACTCAAAAGGAGCAAGTCACGAGAAGCTAAGACCCCAGTGCCCTGTGCTGCTATGAACAGACCAGGGCCCCTCCCTGTTGTCTGGGTGGGGGGGTGCCTGGCCTGTGAGGCCCTGTCACTCATTCTCAGTGCTTTAGAGGGAATGGCAAGAGACAGGGGTGGTCTGTGATGGGGGTACTTAAGACGAGAGCCGCCGGGGTCATGGCACTTACCTGAGACCAGAACAGGCACTGATGCTGGCCAAGGAATCGTCRTGTCCTTGCACATGTCCATGGTAGTAACAGTGACCCTGAAAGGGACAGGGGAGAAGGCTGGATCACTCAGAATGCTTTTTGCCCACTTTCAAGCCAATGGCCTCTAATCCTCCACTTGTTTTGAGCTGTAGAATGTCTTTGTTCTGACACAGTCAATGCTAAGCCCAATGTGACCTAGCCAGGAGCACTCGATTTACTTAGAGATTAACAATCGGGCTTTAAGATTCATCAGTTCCATTCTTGCCCCTCTGATGTCCTACAGGGAAGCCCCCCGATGCAGACTGTTTTACAGAGTCCAGAGCAGAACAAGTCACGTTGACATTGTCATCTGACCCTCATATCAATTGTCTTTTGTAATGAGATGAAGAACTGTAACAGGGTATTTCAGCACCTGTGAAGCAAAGTAGATCGAGGCCTAAATCTATGGATCGTGAAAACAAGAAAGCACAGGCGAGGAGGGGGGAGGAAAGAAAAGGAAGAGGGGCCGCACCGAATACCTGAGTGAGAGCTGAAAGTCATCAGGAAAGCAAAAYAGGAAGCTCCTCTAAGACAAAAGCGCCCTGGGACGTGCCTCATGTCCCCTTGCAGAGAGCCACAGCGTGGTGCCTGCTTAGTGAAGACAGACGTCCATCCAGAATCCAGCTCACTTTCACTGCTGGACACGGGTCATGCTGTAGCGCCCATTAAGGGACCACTGAGCACATCCAGTGCTCCTCCCCAGGTTCTCCGGCAGCCGGCTACCAGCCAGGTCCCGAGGGTTTCAGTCTGTTTCCATCTCAGCAAAAGGCTCTCTCACTCTCGAGGACACAACCTAGTGGCCAGTTGTCCTGCCCAGCACAGACTACCTTGGCTTTGCTAAGAATAAAGGCCCAGTTTGAGTGATGGAAGAAACCAGATGACACCTTAAGAAGGGGCTGAAGATGATTGTCACAAAGTGGAGGACGAGATTTGGGGACCATCTGAGAGGTGATGGAAGGAGGGTGCTGTGGGGAGATTTGTTATTTTGACTTTTTCTTATGGATTCAGAAGTTCTTTATAATCCAGAATATTAATACTGTACCTGTTATTATGCGGGAAGTATCTTTTATCTTTTGTTGCTCATGACATTTTCTCGTTTTGAGAGTTACTGATTTTTGTAAATTCAAGGCTATCCATCTTTCTTTCTGAATTTTGTGTCTTGGTAAAGATGGCTTCCTGAAGGTCACAGATACTTCCTTGTTTATTTTCTTGTTTTTATAGTCTTGATAATTAGCTCTTTAATCTTTCTGGAGTTTATTCAATACCTGGAAGTGTGAGGTTGGAATCCTACTTTCCCCTACGTAACAAGCACCAGCTGTTCCCATTGCCACTTGTCCTTCCTGATTTAGGGTGCTACCTTGGCACACGCTGAATACCCACAATAAGTCTGCGGCTCCACTTTGGGGCCCGGGAGTCTACTGAGGCAAACCCCCATTGGTTTGTTCCTGTGCCAGTACTCCAGTGTTTCAATTACGATTGTTCTATATTACACTCTGATATCAGACAGAAMGAGTTCTCCTTTAAATTTAAGATGAATGCCCACCTCGGATCTCCCCGTGTCCACGTGGAACCCTCCAGCAGCCCCTCCCCTCTCCCTCCCCAGCCTGGCTCCTGTCATTTCATAGCCATAGAAGCACACAATACCTGGCCTCCTTTCTGGGTTCTTTCATTGGTAAGAACCTGAGTTTGTACAATAGAGATCTGTCCTKTTCCTGTATGGGGTGAGCCTCTCCTTCTAACTGGGTCCTTTTTATGACCTTTGGTTAAGAACATTTTTTACATGTGGCAATTAGAAAGTTTTTAAGTTTATGCATAGGTACTGTATAGCTTTGTCAATATTATTATAAGATCTTTTTTCCTATTATGCTTTATAGATGGTTTTTAATGTAAAGGGAAGTGTTGGGTTTTGTAAGGTGATCTTATATCGGGCACCTTGCTGGACCATCTGATCATTTGGACGGTTTGGGTTTTCTCTTGTTGATCATATCAATTGCCAACAGCACAAGTGTTCTGGGCTCCTCTTTGGGTCTTCCCTAGCATACTGGGGAGTGTGATGGCCGATGTCCAGGGGCCAAGGCCGGCAAGGGAAGGAGGGGGCAGGACAGGACATAGCCAGCAGAGGGAAAGCACATTTCAAGGCAGTGGGCGACGGGTCGGGGCAAGGGGTTGGCAGATCAGGGATAGGCTGAGTTCATCCTGGCTGAGGATGCAGGGGCAGGGGTGTGGTACTCACAGTGTCCTTACCACCCCCGCCCCAGTGAGTCTGGCCTCTTTTGTGAGCATGTGGCTTGGGCATGGGATACTGGGAGGGTGGCAGCCACATCAGCCATCCCCCACGCCAGGAGGGAGGGAAGCCCTTGGAGACACCTGTGCGAGATGCTTTGGGATGCTCCTGTGTCTCCCCTCTCTAGACAACTCTTGGTCACCTACCTATGGGAGGCACAGTGGTGATTCTCCAAACAATTTCATAACTGGATTGCAACACCTCAGGGCACCAGAGGGGTCTCACGGCTCTCAGGCTCTGCACCACAGGCAGATTCAGCCCCGTGGATTTCAGGAGGGGATTTCAGTCCTAGGGACACTATAGACACATGAAGACTGAGGACAATTCCAAGTCATCTGGCGCTGGAGTTCAGGTGCCAGGGCTGCCCTCCCTCCCAGAATCACTGCCTGGGGTTTGACTGTGGCTGACTTTTGGGGTCCAATGTAGAAGTTCCCCCATCTTAGAAAAATATGACATGGCAGAATTGGCAGCTAGATAGATACTGCTTAAAAATTAAAAATCAAATTATGACAATAATCTTTAGTGGGTTTTTTGCATTCAGTGACAATAATCTTAATTACTGACCTCTGAAATCTCAAACTCATCTATTTTCAATCTCAATTTATTTTTAATAGATTATTTATCAAATGTACTTTCAAATTAAATACCCAGAAATATAAGCTCATTAAAGCAGAAGCCAAGAACAAATTGGTATCAAATTAATTTCCAATTCAACACCTTGGCTGAATGGCTGCTTGTGAAAGAAGAGGGAGTGGGTTGCAGTTTTCACAAATTGTTCCTTAAAGGAAACCCTCCCTCCTCTCCCACCCTTGACCCGAGTCAGCCATCGTTTCTCAGCTGGTCCCACTTTGGTACCCTCGGACATGGGCTGACACGCCCATTGTCACTCCATCGGGGATTCACTGCTAAGATGACTAAGCACGATTACCATGGCTCTAACGGAAGAGTCTCTGGGATCACTCCAACTTCCGGAAATGTAGTTCTTTTCACCAGGACTCACCAAATGGGAACAGATGTGATTTGGTTTGTATCATGCAGTGAGTGGATCATGGCATAGCTCTCAACAATGTGCTTGCCATACCAGGGAAATCTGTGGGAGTGAAGGAGACACTTTCTGTCCCTGTAAGGGGTCATGACCTCCTGGGAAGGGGCAGAGGCAGACAGGGCCACGAGGGCAGGACCCCGCCCAGTGTGCACCRGTATCTGAGGCCAGGTCGTCTCCACACACTGAGGCTGAGGCGGGAGCCAAGCGGGTCTCCTGAACTCATGGACACTTGGCCTCTTGGGTCTGGAGGTGCCACACCAGTGGGTGACATGGCAGGCAGCATTGTGCCAGAGGAGGTCTGTCCCTCAGGGCCTGCTGATCATCACTGCCCTTGCTGGCGAACCGTGGCTTCTGCTCTCCACACTTCCTGGCCCAAATCCTTCCTCTCTCTGATGCCCCCAAAGACAACAAGCCCTGTGGTCTTTTTGTTCTGCTCATCTCTCTAAAGCCATCGCTGGACAAAACACTGTCCCATGAGGACAGCCTACTTGGCTTTATTCTGCTGATGCACTGCATTCTATCTCTACCAACAAAACCCAGCATGGAGAGGAGCGCCAAGCACGCATAACCACAAAATTACACCTTTCCCTTTGCAAAGCCTCTAACCATGTATTTTATATACTTATTATTTAACCTAATGCGTTTCCCCACTCCAGTAAAATACATTTTCCTTCTGTTTAATACTATCAATCAAATATAATGCTGGGTAAGAAGAAGATGGAACAAGAACTCTTGAACTTGAAAATTGGTAGCCCTCAACTGTAGGCCCTGTGGGAAGTCAGAACAAGCTCCTGTTACTCAAACTCTCAGTGGACCAGAAAGAAGGGAATTTTATGTGCTAAAGTGGTCACAAAAATGGCCCAACCTTGTGATTACAAAGGACCGTGACCAGACAAGTCTCTGAGAGACTCTGCTGAGAGAACATATTTTCAGTGCTGTTTTTCTGGGGGCTCAGAGGGCTTCTCACCCCTGCCACAAGCCACAAGGCAAACTACCTGAATTCAGCGCTTGGATCATAAGATGCTTTCGCCAGAAGGAAACTTTGGGCCATCTGAGGTCAACTTTGCTCTTCCAGCCAGATGCTACCCTGAACAGACAGATGTGGAGACTGAGGCCCAGTTGGCTAAACAGTCACCAAAGGTCACAGAGGCAATGGATGGCAGGACGGGACCTCAATCCAGCCTCTGACTCCAGGCCAGACAGCATCCCTCCAACCCTCCTTGCTGGGAACACAAGCTCTCACGAGCATCTCTTCTTTTGACAAGAAAAGCCTTCATATAAAATGCAAGGTCCACTGCGCCTCCTCATGATGTCCCTCCAGGGACAGCAGGACAGTGAAGTCATCTGCACACTCAGAGCAGACAGGGGGGTAGATGGCATGTGGCCTGCAAACCGCTGGCCCGCCTTTCAGCACGACTGTGGTCAAGCCTTTGTCCCCTTGTGCGGGACACCAAGCCTCCACAGACCACATATTTGCTTGGGACTCAAACAYGGTGACAGGCACTCAAGCAGCCCAAGTGCCTGCAGAGCTGTCACCCGGTACTTGGCCCTGTGCCTGCGCAGGACAGGATGGTTAAGGAGCAGTCGCCACACCCATGCTTCCCAGCCATCTCTGCTCCGCAGCTCTAACAAGAACCAGGCCTAGTTGAAGACTGTACAGAACAAACCTCGGGCCGTTTGAGTTGTAT